GATCTTTGGACCGTGAAACGGCCACACTGAAAACGGCAAGTTAACGACTTGTTTACTGGGCGTTTTTCTGCCGTTTCCATAACGTTAACGCGCCGTTTTTTGTGTTGACCGTTTACTGGAGATTAACGGGCCGTTTTTTTGGACCTGGGTATCTGATTGTTCATAGATTAAATTGAAAACGAAAAGACATGAAAAATTAAACTGTTTGTCGAAAAGAATATCATCTGTTATGACTGAAAAACAGTTCGTGAGCCAATCAGGGACGGTGTGCCTTCAATTTTCGTTTTTTGAATAACTTGAGCGGTTTGTAGTATTGAACCAGTTTGACCGTTTAATAATTGGACGGATAGTGGAGAAGCAGTAACAGGTTTAATAATACAAATATTCTAAAAATGAAAAAATGTGAAATATATATTCATTAGATTAAAAAAAGAGTTATTCACCTTAATGTGGCTCATACGAGGCATAACAGGGGGTTCTTGTTTGGTCAAGGTTTGATCTTGAAGACTGATGACTGGCAAATTAAGCTAAAAAAAGGCAAGAGTAAAATGTTTATGAGAATATTGCGTGATGATAGCATTCTCATTGTAAGATGCACTTCGTTTACTCTTGTCTTAATTTCATCTGAATTGCTAGATACTGTTATTGATCGTTTCTGAGCCGCTTCAGTTGGAGTTGTGCAACTCGGTAACGTTAAAGCTAAATTGCTAACATGCATGACAGAAGTTTGTTTATGATTAATAACCAGTTGAAATGAGCTGTCCTACAAATAAAAAGAAAAGGTTCGAAACAGTAAATAGCGTAGTCTTAATAATCGGACAAGTACCAAAGTATTTTACTTGTAAATGATTGGATTGCTTTTCACCTGGATTTACTCTTGATTGTATTTTGGCATCGTGCAATATAGGAACCGTTCCTGTATCACATGCTACTATTTCTAAGGGACGATAGAAGGTCGAACCAGGTAACAACGAATTCAGCATATCATTTTCGATCTAAAGAGAATAAACAGATAACGACTATAAAACATTGAGCTTGAGAATGGCTGTCATTCTTATTTGTCTAGCTATCTGAATAGATTCTAATTATTTTGTTGTAAGGAAACGAGCGTATAATAAAATGAACTCAGTGTTGTATATCATAATCTTTATAACTTAGTACTTTTAAACGCAGAAGAAGGGTTTGGTGTATGCTTACTTTGCCGAAAATTACAATTATTTTCGCTGACGTTGCAAATAAATCTCCAATATCTGCATTTGTGCATGGAACTGATTGAGTAAATGGATTTGTTTTGAATAAATAATACTTATTCTGATTATCTAATTTAACGACAGCCATTGTATCTGTATATTTGCTGATCATTATCGCTGATGTTTTGCGATAATCCACTATTTCTCCTGCAACGTCCGTTATTTTGAATTCAGCATCTTCAAAGCTCTTGTAAGTGATGTTTTTCAAATTCTTCAGAATTATTTTCGGTGTTTTATGATGATATTGAGTAATAATGGGCAGAATAAGTCCAGAATTATCTTCTTGACATAATTTACACACGACACTTGTGAAAGAAAATGCTGAAAAAGTAAAACCTTGTTCTTGAAGTCTAATTTAATACAAGTTAATGTGTGATAATTCTTCTGTGATCCAATGTGTAGACATGTCAAACTATCTGTTGAAGGCTAGTATTGTAAGTAGTGGATGAATTTTTACGGATGAGTGACAGAGGGGGGAAACTGTGCATACACAATAACAGTATAACTCACATGACACAGTGGGCAACTAAGCGGACATTAGGCCAAAAAGTCGATTTTATCTATCTTGAAATACAAATAGTGCAAAATGTAGCTCTTGAAATTCTCTATCGAATGGTGTATAAACGTCTATTGTGAAAC